AATAATCGATTAGGCCATGAATTTTAAACAACAACTAACAAGGTATACCTTGTTATATTAGAATTTATATATAATTTATATTATAATTAGACATTTTTGACAGACAGATTCTTCGTTATAGGCATATGAAATAGTGTAGAATACAGCTGTAATAATTTGTTGATAAAATTATTAGAACAGAGTGCTTGAACCAAATTTGATCCTTGGTACCCTTTGCCATTTGGTTTAATATCATGGTTTAAGCCTATGTATGTAGTTTTACACACCCGCCTTAATTCAGACAAAAAAAACATAATTCATAAGTACATTTAAATGATATCATTGTGAGATCAACCTCATAAAAATATATACCTTCAAAATTACAAACATATAATGTAAACTTTGGTACGTAATTTGGTAAATATTTATTAATATAATACGGATTGCAACATAAATKATGTTTGGGTTTTATATCATAAATTTGATAGGATATAAAACATACAAAATTAAAGCAGTTATCAATCAAAACTGGTATATGTTATTAATTTTGTTTAAATTTTTGGTTTTCACCCAATTTTATTATACCCCTCAATAACCAATGGTTATAAAGTCACAACCATTACTAATTCGTTCCAAACCCTGACTTACAGGAGCAGGTATATCTAAACTGACAGCCMATTTGATTTTTTTCTCAGTTCTTCATGATTAGTTGACAAGTTGAAAAAAAACTAGAGACTCATATAAATTATTTTAAAACTGTTAGATTATGCTATGATCAAAACCCATTAAGTTATGATATTTTGAAACCTAGTTATTCTGTACGGAACAATCTTKGTATACAATGTTTTCATTACTGTACACATATTCAGTAATATTATTTGTCATGCGGATTGTGGAGAGTGAGGATTGCTTAATATTTTTGAAGATAATGTATTGTAAATAGAAATTTTGTGTACTGGGAAATTATTGTCTCATTACTCTCATTAGTTATTATTTTACTTAGTGGAATATAAAATATAAATTAGTGGGAATGTATATAGCATTATAAATTATAATATATCAATATATGTATGTATGAGTGGTATGTAATATGTATGGCGYGTCTCCTGTATTATAAAGGAGTATAATAATTTATGATTATAATTAGGGAGTTATGTTATAATATTATATTTAAAGTGCAGCTACTGGTATTACTTAATTCTTATATGTTGAACAGAAAGACGTATTCTATATTCTAATTGCATATTATACTCAAAAATTTGTATGCAGTATGCACCTACATACTACAACAATATTTTCATTATACCTTTATGTCTAAATGTTAATTAAATGCAGACTAAAAATCTGTGTAGTTGAAACCAATCTCCATCTAATAAAAAAATAATAATAATAACAATTTAACTAAAATTATAGCAGTTGTACTCCCCTTCATAAACCAGAATTTTCTTTCAGTTTTCTTAGAATTTACTGTGGCAGAGTTAARAAAAMMWTTWARRAWT